CCACCTCACCCTTGTCTCTCTCTATCTTTATGACTCTCATTCTCCTCCCCTACCCTACCTTCCTGGTAGCCACGGTNTCTCAGAGTCGGCCTCCTCCTCTCCCACCTCACCCTTGTCTCTCTCTATCTTTATGACTCTCATTCTCTTCCCCTACCCTACCTTCCTGGTAGCCACGGTGACATGCATATTGGCCTTCAATTGGTGTTGTGGTGACTGGTAGTAGTAGGCCAATTTTTTTTTTTTTTAAAAGGTGTAGGAGGCCAAAATTTAGCTTGTCATGGTTGGTGGGGGGTTTGTGTTCGTATTGGAGTTGACAGTGGAGGGTGTTGATGGGTGATAGGGTGGTGAGTGACTGTTGGTGGCTGCAGGAAACTGGCCTTTGTTGTTGGTGTTTTTTTTTTTTTTTGGGGGGAGGGGGGGAGCAGGGGTTGTGGGATGCAAATTACACTGGCATCCATATAAGGCAATCTGATATGGTATTTGCTGATGGCTAAGCTTACTGAACAATGGAATGATGGCCTGCCTTTTGTCTTAAATGTTATGCTTTGATTTTGGGAAGCTTGGATTTTAAGACTGGTGGTGGCAATGGTGTTGTGGTTTTTGGCTGCTCTTGTTGACACTAGAGGCTGCAGTCAGTGGTATGGTCATTATCTTTCCTGAAAATAGAATTTCAAACATTATGCTTCTTTGATTAAAAAGAAAAATATATGATGGCTGTAAGAGATGAGGATTATTGGGAGGAAGCTGTGAGAGAGAGAGAGGGGCTGAAGAGAAGCCAGTGGGTTTACTTTTCCCAAACTGCTCGGGAAAATGTGTCATATGAGCTGCACGTGTTGATTTATGTTATCAATTTTAACCAATTTTAATAATTGGACTAATTAAACATAAGTGTTAAACCTTAGGGACTAAATGACTAAAAGTAATACTTAAATGACCAAATTGACAATTGCTGCATATTTCAGTGAACAAAATTATATTTAGACCCAAGTTTGATGTCAAGACATTCTGTGTTACCGAATTACTTTCCTTCATCACAAGCAAAGTTTGATCATCAGTCACACCTTGGATCTTTCTTACTTTTTTTGGTGGTTTTTGTGTTATCTTTTGCAAAATTTTGGGAATAGCTTGAAATGGAGGACGGTGATGAAATTGATGCAATGCTGCATCAAACTGGAGGTGGACATGTACATCTTTAAATGCAAATTGGACAGCAGCTATGTACGTATGGGAAAAGTATGGTGTGGATCTGTCGATGTTTCGAAACCTTGATGTCTATGGGGACTTATTAGTGAAGAAAAATTATAACTGATGGAAAATCCTGAAAATTTTATGCTTCCTAGTTTTTGTTTAGTTGTACTTTTTAATGGATACTGATGGTATTTGTTGCTACAATATGGACCCTTATGGAATCTAGTGGATCTCGCTCGTGCCTTTTTTATTTTTTTCCCCTGGGTGTGTACTATGTTATTGCTAATCGAATGTATGCCTGCCTTTGATGTCTATTGTTAGTGCATGGTCAATGTTCTAAAAATTGTTTTTTCCTGGATCTGTATTGTAATGTAGAGGCCTCNATGGTATTTGTTGCTACAATATGGACCCTTATGGAATCTAGTGGATCTCGCTCGTGCCTTTTTATTTTTTTTCCCTGGGTGTGTACTATGTTATTGCTAATCGAATGTATGCCTACCTTTGATGTCTATTGTTAGTGCTTGGTCAATGTTCTAAAAATTGTTTTTTCCTGGATCTGTATTGTAATGTAGAGGCCTCTGTTTTATGCGAAGATGGGCACAATTGAACCTGTCATGATGGTTCTACCGTAATTGTTATTTGTTTCCAAAACTGAAATTATGGGAATGGCGTTCCACTCTCTAGTGGAGGGTCACTATATCTATTTTGTGGGCCCTTAGATTATTTCACTCCACCCACTTTGCCTTATTCCCTTTTATCCCTCAAACCAAACACCCTCCAAGTGGTTGAGGTATTTAGGTCTTTAGATTATGTTATCAAATTAAACAAAAATATCGAGTAAGTGTTATAATTGGTTTGTAAATTTTATCTCCGGTTATAATTTGATTCTTTAATTTTTTATTGTCTCANTATTCCCTTTTATCCCTCAAACCAAACACCCTCCAAGTGGTTGAGGTATTTAGGTCTTTAGATTATGTTATCAAATTAAACATAAATATCGAGTAAGTGTTATAATTGGTTTGTAAATTTTATCTCCGGTTATAATTTGATTCTTTAATTTTTTATTGTCTCAATTTAATTTATCAACTATCAATTTTATTTAAATTAAGTTCTTATATTTATTTTTATGGTTAGATCAATAGAAGACTAGTCTAATATGATTTATTTTAAGCATTAAATCATATGTTTTTGATTTAATAAAATGGACGGAAGAACTTCATTAAGGCGAAATTGAAAAGACACAATTTAAGGACTAACTGCGGTGTTTANCAATTAAGTTCTTATATTTATTTTTATGGTTAGATCAATAGAAGACGACTAGTCTAATATGATTTATTTTAAGCATTAAATCATATGTTTTTGATTTAATAAAATGGACGGAAGAACTTCATTAAGGCGAAATTGAAATAATTGAAAAGACACAATTTAAGGACTAACTGCGGTGTTTACTGTTTTTCGTTAAGATAATATCATAAGTTTATGAGGACAGTATTACGCAATCTATATTGGGAAATGGGCCGCCTTGGTAATAGTAGGTGATGGCGGCCCAGACACAATGATCCAGTCCACAGTCAAAATGTTGGGCCAGGAAACTATGAAAAGGTCATAAAACAGATACTTGGTCAGTTGCCTCAAGTGGAAAAAAGCGTCGTGCGACGGAGAAGGAGCGTAGTGTGGGGTCCGTGGGACTAACTTTGTCAGGCAGTTGTGGACTAGCAACTGGACGGTTTCACCACGCGCCAACAAAGGGCACGTGCTGCCCACGTACCTCGTTTAGTGGNGGTGATGGCGGCCCAGACACAATGATCCAGTCCACAGTCAAAATGTTGGGCCAGGAAACTATGAAAAGGAGCGTAGTGTGGGGTCCGTGGGCCTAACTTTGTCAGGCAGTTGTGGACTAGCAACTGGACGGTTTCACCACGCGCCAACAAAGGGCACGTGCTGCCCACGTACCTCGTTTAGTGGGTGACGATTGTGGTAGAAAATCTTTTATTTATACAGATCACATAGAGACAGTACAAAATGAGGGTAAGTAAGAAGGAAAAATTATACTTTATCTCCCATAACTATGATTCCTATTCTCACTTCGCCTCTTCNTTATTTATACAGATCACATACAGAGACAGTACAAAATGAGGGTAAGTAAGAAGGAAAAATTATACTTTATCTCCCATAACTATGATTCCTATTCTCACTTCGCCTCTTCACCTATTGAATTTCTCACATTGTCCCATTAACTATTTGAATTGGTTCCACAGTACTCTAAATTAAAACACCCCTCACAATTTTTGACAGAATTGTTCACAATGGGATGACTGTTGGAAGTGAAAAATGAGAGATGTGATAATTTATAAAGGCAATGTAGGATTAATAATTAATTTTTGGCCAACAAGGAAGTTAGAGAAGGAGGTTATTGGAAGTCTTTTGAATTTTTTGACATCCCATTCCCAGAGTCAAACGGAGGCTCTAGGCGAAATACTTGAATGAGACCCTATTAATTATAATTATTATGATAATATATAATTTTTATTGCTTTTATTAAAATATGAAACTATATTTATCTAAAAATAAATTTCTGGTTATTTGAGATGCCAATTTATTAATTAAAAAATTTTCCTATTCAATTTTTTTAGCATATCATTTAGATTTATAAAATTCATTCAAAAACTAATAATCAAAAGGAAGAAGTTATTAATAAAATAAATTTAAATTTAAACAAATTTAACTTATCAAAAGACCGTCAAATTCTAAAAAAAAATTAAAATACATACTTTTCAAGTTGATCAAAATAGTTAAAAATAATATACAAAAGAAACAATTACATAGTATGTTTCAAGATATGAATAGTATCATGATTAATATAATGAATCTCGTAGTAGTATAAAACTTGTAAAAATAAAATTTGAATTTATCGGACCTGCATCTATAAAAAAAATTTAGGGGAACATAAAAAAAATTTGATTTAATTAAACATTGATCTAAAAAAATTATTTGAAACCTTGAAAATAAATTTAAACTTAATTAAACTTGAATCTAAAATTTTTAAAAATATTTTAAAGCTAAGTAAATCTAAACTAAAAAAAAAAATTTGAGCCCACAAAATATATGGGGCCTAAGCGACAGCTTCAATTGCCTAACCTAGGGACCGCACTGCCATTTCAAAGTAGGTGGCTTATTTTCCACCATTCTCTCCAATTTAAAAATCTATGTGAAGAAGACATCCCAAAAGCACCCAAATTAGTGGTTTTCTACCATCAATTTTTTGATGTTGGTTTTGTAAGGTGCATGCATTTTTATTTTCTTATTTTTGTATTCATTTAAATGATGGAGTCTAGATTACATTTGAGGGATAAGACTCATTACCTTCNGATGTTGGTTTTGTAAGGTGCATGCATTTTTATTTTCTTATTTTTTTATTCATTTAAATGATGGAGTCTAGATTACATTTGAGGGATAAGACTCATTACCTTCCTTTAGTAAGGTGTAATTTTTTTTTATAAATTAATAAAACTATACCCTTGTACCGCCGAGATTTAACAAAAAAAAAGAGATCAATAATTATTTTTGAGATATAATGTGGGAAAAATGAAAGTTGAGGGGATAATAAGGGATAAGGTTCNAAATTAATAAAACTATACCCTTGTACCGCCGAGATTTAACAAAAAAAAAAAGAGATCAATAATTAATTTTGAGATATAATGTGGGAAAAATGAAAGTTGAGGGGATAATAAGGGATAAGGTTCATAATTGACAGGGTCAAAATATAATATTCCAAATAAAAAATCCCAATAATTCGACAACGAATGGACTTGAAGGCCCCGTGCTCTGCCATGGTTGCCGATATTCTATTGAGTGTGTGTGTATGGTAAGTGAGTGGGTGTGTAATAAATAGCCCAAAAACAAGGGGAGAGAGAGAGACGGCGCTTTCTCCGTTGCACACATCTCAAGCATTACTGTAAATTCAATATTTGTGTGTATGCTTATCCGTATGTGTATGTGTTGATCTATTGCAACGGCTACATTCATGTGGTAGTGGGGCGGTGAGATTGTGATTTGTGACTATACCCTCATTTTGTGCTGCTCCTTCTTTGTATTCGGTGGGAGATATAGAGATCCTGATGGATTACGACAATGACAAGTATGCTCTGAACTACTTTTGTCTTAGTTTTGTGTTCTTGATATCTGGGACGGTTTTGGACTGCATTGTATGTGGTTTGATCGGTTAGTTCCAAAAAATACAGATTCTGAATCTGTTGAGTTTTTGGGTGATTTTTTTTCGCTCAAATGCTGAATTAGTGAGATGGGTTTACTTTATTTCATGTGTTGGTTCATGGGTTTGGCTTGATTTTAGTTCAATCGCGAGGGCAAATTCAGTGTCTGGGTGTGGATTGTGATGTATTTACTGAGTCAATGCTATTAGATTTTTGGCAGTTTTTTATACTCTTTGTCAATGCTTTTGTTGATTTCTTTCTTATATGTGTTATCGGGGTAAGCAAACTTTGTCTGACATGGCTATTATCCTATTCTCTTCAATTCAAGTGTATACCATTTTGTTCCTGTCTTGATCCAGAACTAGATGTCTGTGGAGCACCAGTTTCAGTATCGCTCTAGGAAACACTTGGTGTCAGAATTTGTTCTAGTAACTGCATTTTGATGCTCATATTCTGATTATTATTGGATTTAAGCTTGTAGGGTTCACCCTTTTGTTGTCGTCCTAGAAATTTTCTTCACTTTTGGATGTCTGTCTGTCTAGTATTTGCAAAAAATTGTTTCTGGTTATTGATGTGATTCTTTGATGTCATGGTTTGGATTAGCATGTTACTTTGGGAATTTCATCTGCAGTCAATTGGCTTCGGCTTGAATTTTTATGTGATTTTTCCAAGTACATGTACAACTTGGAAAATGTAGATTGTGCTAAGTTCTGTTTTTTGTGTGAAATCATTACAGCGAGATGTGGGATTGGCAAGGTGAGGATTATTGTCTTCAAGACAATACCACTAACCTTGGTGAGTTTTGCTCTGCTTTTTGTTTGACTAGTAACTCAGGATCCTTGGGAGAGTTTATTCATGTTATTGGGTTGTTGCTGTGGTGCACAGACATATCAAAGAGCTTGTGGAATGGAGTAAACCAGAATGAAGAAAATCTTTCTTACATGTTCGATGAGACGACTCCGATTAAGGCTTGTGGGGATTTGTCTTATCATGTTACTAGCAAAGGTACTTATTTCTTTATCCCCAAATATTCCCCATAATGTGTAGTTGTTTCTTATCTCGTAATTATGTATGCAATGTGAACGACACTAGTTGATTTGAGAGAATTAACTGCAGAAAACTCGAGCAAGGGATTGGAGCAATGCAGAGAGACTTTATCCCAAGTAAAGAGGCGCCGCATGCTACAGTTTGACCCTGAAGTTTTGGGTGTTTCCCTGTGCAATGAGGAGATCTCAGCAAATATTTTAAGATCAAAGGTTTGTGACAGGTTATATTTCTATTTGGAAACTTAGGTTCACTCATATTGCAAAGGGTAGGGAATTTTCTTATGTTAGAAAAGGTCATGTGTAGATTTAAAACTAATTTTTTTCATAAAATGCATCGTGTACCAGGGAAAAAAGTTTCTTATCCATGTCACATCTTGTGCATCTGTCCAAAATCTATAATGGGTTTCTATATGATTAATGTAGATAAATTTCCCCGAGTATTCATTCACTCAGGAGAGAGCCTTTATTTGCCAGAGTGTGGTTTCTCAACTATTTAGTATTGGGACTTGAGCTAATTAACTGCAAATTCTTTAGATATTACATCAAGACAGGTTCAAACTCTTGTANCGAGTATTCATTCACTCAGGAGAGAGCCTTTATTTGCCAGAGTGTGGTTTCTCAACTATTTAGTATTGGGACTTAAGCTAATTAACTGCAAATTCTTTAGATATTACATCAAGACAGGTTCAAACTCTTGTACTTTTGGTGAGCAATTATGTCTGACTCTTAGTTTTTGAAATGGACTTAGGTAGAATCCTAAAGGGGTACCATTACAATGCTTAGATCCACGTTTTTTATTCTTTGTTTAGGAGAGGGAGGATTCTGTTGAAGAGGCTTTCTCTGATATGTCGCAGTGGGTTTCTGGATTTGCAGGTTTGTCCTACATGAAATTATGTTCTGAAATTAATAGGTAGTTTATGTCTATATAGGACCTTATGTTAGTTCTATAATGCATGTTAGAGGATACATCTGCATCTGGTTATGAGGGCCTTGATCCATCATCTGAAGGGTGGCTAGCCGATTGCTTTAATGATGCTGAGATGCACGTCAGCCCCGATGATATGTATGCCTTTTCTAACTTAAGATTTTGAATCTATTTACCATTTAAAATAGTTGTTCTAATAATAAGATACTTGGAGACAGGATCCAGTCTGGGGCATCTGATGTTCAAATTGATATCACAGGTACATCACGTCCAACATTCATTCAATTTGATGTGATGATTATTTTCTGTCTGTTTTCTTTGCTGCTGCTTATTTTCCTCTGCTCGACATTTCATATCTGTGTTAGTTTCTCTGTTGCAGAGTTCAGCAACGCCACACCTGAATATGAAGCTAGTATGGTTCGACAGCGCCCAGCTCGAACTCGTCGAAATGTTGTTTTCAAAGGTTATTCTTTGTCATTATCTTCTTTTTCCAACTTAAATAGTTAGGCTCATGAACAACTATAAACCGGGCAGTCTTCTCTTGATAAAATAACAACTTCTCGTTATTGGTCACTTGGGTACAAGAAAGCACCCTTAATCCAAAAGTATTCAACTATTTGCACTACTCAATAATGTTGGTACTCAGATTTCCTTTTTCGAGGTCACAGCACTGTCAAACATAGCAATATTCTTATAGTTGAGAATGCTAAACCTAACACCAACTATCTCATTCTTGTTTTATGTATGCAGGTAGGAAGTCGTACATGCAGACACCCACAAAGTTGGCTTCTTCTGTTGTCTATCCATTTGCCTTCATCAAACCATGTGGTGTCCATGGAGATGTTACTCTAAAGGACATAAACAAGCGAATACGTACACCTCCACCTTCAAGTTCAACAGAAACTAATGAAGATCCTTCTACTTACCCCACATCTGCTTTTTCTGGGAAGCCTGTTGTTGGTAAAACTAAAATTCGCACTGAAGGAGGAAAAGGCTGCATCACCATAATGAGAACCAAAGGTTGATTAGATAAGTGTTCTCCCAAACTCTCTTTTTGGGGCCCTTGATCCCTTACTGTCCGCGGCAAGCTTTTTTGTATATTATTCTGGGGTCACCTAGTATGGAAATCAATACGTTGGTTGCTGTTGTTATTCAATTTCATGAATCTCATGACGTGTTTATGTGCCAAGTCCTTTTCTAGGTGACAGGTCCCTGTTGTTTTATACCTAATTAGAACGGATGTAGACTCTACGAGGATTTTGATGTCGTAGAAATCCTCCTACCTTTGTTTGTCATAACTTTGCTAATGTTTTGCCTAATCGAGTTTAATGTGAAAAGCTTGAGTTCACTTTGTTTCTTCTGATTCTGTGACTGATTAATTTTATGGGATTCAATGTTACATATGGCTTAATTTATAACTCCTTATTCAAATTCGTTACTGCTGTAACTTGCTAATACAGAATGTCTATTTTTACCAAGTATCCTATGTAATTAAAGCCAATTCTCTTTAGCTTTGGAGGGGCTATGCCTTATTTTTGTTATTTTAACTTGTGACTATTGTGGATTGTGGATATGGTTTATCTGGTTGAAATAGCTCCCAAAAATTGAAGTTTTCCGTAAGTTCTGTGCTTCAGTTTCCTAGGGAATAGAATCAAGTTGTGGCATGCATGCTTGCTGTCCAGCTTTAAAGAGAGTAAAAAGTGCCAAGGATTGTCGGAGGTTGTAATGACTTGTATGGGCTTTTTCTCATGCTTTCACTTTTGGATGAATTAAGAAGTTAAGGCTGTATCCCCATGATGAAGTTGTGTTGCCACTGGTATTTTAATGCTTTTGAAACATGGGGCTGTGATTTTAATAAGAGGGAGATGGTGGTGCTCAACCTCTGGAATTGGTGTTTTTTTTTTCTTTTTTTTTTTTTT